CCCATCCTCTGCCAGCTGCCAGAAAAGATCTGCTGAAAACAATTAGTATATGTAGAATGTTTATTGATTCCAACATATTAATAGATTGGATAATAAACAGTACTTTTAAACATTCTCTTAACCAAAAATATAACAAATATTTACAATCACTCAGTAAAAATACAAAAAGCATACAGAGGCACTGTCTTTCTAAAAGACATAAGTGTAAGAGGTATCAAAAAATAGGAGACAAACATTGCTTGTTACAGAATACTTTACAATCACTGACTTGTGCAGTACAATTGCTATTGGAATATCATTACATCTGTGCAGTTTTGCCAATATGCTCACATATTTAGAATTTAATGAATACCAAGCTAAACTGCATTCCAGGTATATCAAAAATAAAGATAAAACAATAAAAAGCACAACAGAAGCAAAAGCTGGGTTGGGAATTCAAGGTAGACCACCCTCTATACAAGCGCCCTAAAATATAATGTGTAAAGCTTTTCTAAAGAGCGAGAATCCCTTTTTTCTTCTGGTTTTGCGAAGGCAGTGGTCAGTCTCTCCTTTCAAAAAATTCTAATTCTGATCTTCTGTAAAAACCCCAATGGCAGGTTGGCGATTCCACTGCTGCCTGCGACTCAGGGGCTTGGGAGATGAAGAAAGAGGTTTTGCAACCCCACCGCCGAGGGGTTCAGCCCCTGGGGACCGGGGACAGCCCGTGGTGCGGGCAGGGAGCTGGCACCCTCCGCACGCCCCATCCCCGGCCACGGGCTCTGCCCAGCTCCCCGGGAAGCGTCACTCACCTCTGTGCGACTCCTCACGTCAGTAACGGCGAAACAGACGGGCCGGGAAAGCAACGCGCTGCCCCTCGCCAGCAAACCTCCACGCCGCAAAAACGGGCACTGCAAACATCTGCAGACATCCCCTTTTCCGTTATTTCACATTTCTGGGAGACGAAACCCCTACTCAGAGGCTCACCGATCTCGTTTTCCCCTTTCTGGCACTGGAGAGGCCAACTGAAGTTTACGAAACCGCGCTGCTTTTTGGGGAATTACTTGGAAGCTGATGATTTAGGAAGCGTAATGAAATACTGTATGGTTAACTCAGAGAGCCCAAACGGGTCTCTCACCCACGAGTCGAGGCAGTCAGACAGCAGAAAGCGAGCAAAGCGAGGTACGTCAGCGGAAGAACGTGCCACGAGGCGCTGTGACTGCTCACCGAAATCGGAGCCCGCGGAACGCGGCGGAGGCACCAGCTCCGGGATCTGCGACATCACCCAACGCAGCGGCGTACAACGGGAGCTAACCACCACCTCACTCCAGTTACCGAAAAAAGGGATCATGTCTCTTCAAACCCACACCAGACACACTACATTTGGCTGTCGGCCCCGATCAATGTGATCGGTGGAGTTCAAAACAAAAAACAAACAGAAATCCCAGCGAGGACCAGCAGCGGCCAAGCCACAGCGTGCGAGGCAGGAGAAGCAGGAGGTGGAGCGCGCGGGCCCGGAGACGCACGATTTATTTATACCAGCTGATATCAGGAGAAGACGATTAGCAAGGCTGTCACTCACGGTAAGAGCTTGGCAGCGTCCCGAAGAGCCCGGCCGAGCCGACGCGCGCTGCGGATGTGCCAACACCAGCGGGCGATGGGCTTGGTTCAGTCAACGGCTCCCCTGCTGCTGCCAGAGCAGCCCCCGACGTCGCCGCATCCCCAGACGCAGCACTGCCGGGCTTCGGGGGATCGAGGGAGTCGCTCTGGTGACAACCCCCCAGCCCTCACCCTGCTGCTCAACAGGCTGAGAGCACCTACAGCTCAGCACCCGCGCCGATGGGCACCGCGGGGTTGGGTTTACCGGGCACGACACAGATGAGGTTCTGACGAAGCACGAAGCCTGTTGCGCACTCCACGTAGAAGTTCACAAGCAACTACAGCTGACGGTGGGATAGCTAGGACTTGGATTTATATCCCACAAAAAAATATCAGTTTAAGCTATATTACCAACACTACATGGTGCTGCAAATCATCGCTCTGCCCTGCATTGCTCTGACACGTACATTAATCTTTATTCATTAAGGCCTGTGCAGGTTCATTATATTCATTAAGGCCTCGAAAAAGCAAAATGTGTTTACGATGATTTACCTCAACTGGTTTTGAATACATTTTTTTCAACCGTTTGCTCCGCAGATACGCGTGCCAAGAACTCCTACAGCCAAGCAACTCGTGAGGAATTCGGCATCCCTGCCTCGGCACCGCTGCTCGTTCCCGTCATCGAATCCCAACCCAGGTTCCGGCCAGAGCAGCAGCGGCGGGGCAGGCGGCGGCGCTGGGGACGCGGCCGCCGGGGGGAGAGCACCGCGGAGGCTTCGGGTCGGTTCCCGAAAACGCCGCGCTCACCTTGCACCCCTGCACACGTACAGGAAAAAGGACAAACAAAACCCTTAAAGCTCTTCACAACTATGGATAGGGAAATCATTTTTGAGGCACTGTAAAAATGACAAACATCATCTTTCTAGCTTAGGCTGTAAACATCACAACAAAGATTTACAATTCAATGTTTAAATACATATTCACACATTCATCTCCAATTTTAACACTAGAACGGGGCATCGTGCGCTCGAAGAACGGAAGAAACCGCAGGTATTTCCAGTTCTACCCCTCCGCGCTCTGGCTGGCTGAGCAAAATCAAACACGCAAGTTATTTTGGCCGTAGTCAGACCGGAGGATCACGTGTTAATACCGGCTGGCTGCAAGTCAAAACCGTCACTGACGCCAACACCACCAGGATTTTTACCTAGGATTTAAAATAAAAACTTTGGAGATCATCTGTATTTTCCAGATGAACATGACAGGGGTTTTTAACCCACCATAAAACGCATTATACTCTTACATAGGCATTACGTCATTTAATATTCAGCTTCACAAAATTTACTGTGAAACGAAGGCGATTTATAATTTACGTGGTTTTGCTTTTTTTTAAATATAACCTTTGCACCCAAATCCTGTGCAGCCCTGGTAGAAGGACAGAAGGCGTGGGACGATCTTCAAACCCCCAGCAGCCGGTTGAATTTTGGTTTCCAG